TTATCAGGAGACTACTAGATTGGGGGTAGCCTGGTATATATAAGACCGACCACGAAGCGACGGGGAGGTAACAATGAGTAATTGAACTGCAGTCAGAAAGTGTGTAATTGAACTGAGTATTGTTGAAGTTGAGCACGTGAGATGTTCGTTGTTATAGCGTTTGTTATAGCGCGACTGTTGAAATTAAGTGTATTGCAAAGTTATATTCGGAAAGATTAAACCAATTTTATTTAAGAAAGGACTTGTGTCGCTAAAGTTTAGTCGGAAAGAATTTACGGAAAATTAAATAACGAACGTAACAATATATGTATATTGTTGTTTGGAACTTCACCCAAAAGAAGACCAGTAAAACCAGGTGCCGTTCCAAGTGTTTTCATATGGTCCAAGACAATCACACCACAGCCATGAGAAGAACCGAGTGAGCACTGAAAAGAGTAAAACGTTCAACCAGCCAGTAGTTGACACTACCGAGGAAACTATCGTAGCTCTAGGCCTATAAAATGTCATTAACAGTGACAAATACACGTTTAAATATGAAAAAAGTTAATCATTATCATTATTTTCATTTAACAGCTACAATTATATCGTTTAATTCAGCAATTTACAACAAGGTTCTTACCAACATATTGAAACTATGCTTATTTTCATGTAACAAAACAACAGTCTGGCACTATATTATCGCTCCTATTATTTTGTTTACCTGTCGATCAGTTCGACTTTTCTTACAGTAGTTTTAGCTACACTGCATTTACATTCCGTCTTAATCATGCTAAGATTCCAATTTTCATATTTCTCACTAACTTAAGTGGAACTGGTAAAATAATTATCAGGAAAACAAGTGAAATCCATGTACCACTCCAACAGTCTTTGTGACTGACCAGCTGAATTGCAAAGCATGTTGGCCTAATGCTAGGATCACATCGATAATAGCGCTACCGTGCGTTAACAGTTTCTCGCACAGTCCTTCATTAATCCTACTTTCTTCCTCGTATATCTTAAGATCAGAGAATATACATACGTCACATCCCCGCCCCCGACAGTTATTGACCGACAGTTTATATGTATGCTTTCATTTTCTTTCTTTTTTTTTTTGTTTATATAGAATTATTACTGAACGGCATAAGATCAAATAACCATTTTTTTATGATTATAGTCGTTTTTAGCACAGAAAGCAACCGGACAACATGAACCTGCCGCTATTTCTTATGTATGTTATTTAGTGATTTATTATTTTTTTTTCATTTTACTTTATGAAGTTATTTATTAGCATTATTATGTTTTAATGCAAATAAAGCAGAGATCATAACTACTAATCGCTTCTCGACACTATAGCAACAGGACATAGAAACACAAGCCCAACTTACTATTAACAACCTGGCGTATGTAATTGTAAAAACTAAGCAAGCTAATCCAAGTGAATTATTACATTCTGAAAATAACTCGAAACTAATTACAATATATAAAATAAATTAAGAAAAATATTAATATTCTTAACTACAGTTATTGGAAAAAAGGCTATAAAGGCTTAACTAAGTAAGCCTTATTTTATTAATATAATGATAAAACTTTTTAAGACTAGAAGTTACATAAATTGCTTAATAGAAAATGGGTATAACACTGCTTTATGCCGTCTTCCCATACGTGAATATTTTTACAGTTAACGAATAAGCTTACTAATATACTATTTGACTTATTGGCTCGATATTGTAGAGTAGGCCTACTGTTCACTCACTTCTGGACGCTATAACAACAGGGCAAACAGACGTGAGTCTAATTTAGTATTAGTACTTTACTATAAAATTGTACAATCTATAAAAAAAATCTATATAATATGACTATTCTATTATCAAAATAACTCAAAATTAATTTTGAATATTTTAAGGAAATTAAGAAGGATACTAATTGGGCAATAAATATAGGTTTCATTTTGCGAAATGAATTATAGCCATTTGAGCAATCGAACAACAGTAGCACTAACATATTATTGTTAAAGTGTAAACGCCTTTGTTTTCAAAACGTCAGTGACTATGAATAGGAAATACATATACTCCAATAACATCAAAGTAATTTTGTGTAATGTAATGCAAAAATAAAGCCTTTAAGTAAATACATTAAAACCTATATTTTTAATAAGTAAAGATTTTCAACTGCAATAAAGAGCATATGATACATATTGAATACAACTATATAAATCAGCATAAGATGGATACCACTGTATTAGTTTTTAATATATGGTATCGTTTTGCTTTTATAAGCTTACGTCAGGTTACGATTCACAAAATATTGTTAAAGATTATCATCTTACGCAAACTTACGAAACATTATTTTGTTTTCAGTCCCAAGGCCGCTTACATCCTTTGGATCTCCGTAAACACTGATTCATCACCTGGTGGCACCCATGTCCTCTCCAGGTCCCTTACGGTTTTGTGTTTTTGTTTTCTTAAGTGTATAATAATATTTCAAACATTATATCCGCCAACATAGCAGACGCTCCGAGTTACACAACATACTTTAGGTATCCCCAAAAATCAAGTGGGCTATCCGACAGGAAGTATCCATGCTGCTCGCGCAACTTTCTAATATTTCATACAATTTGCAGCAGTTTACCTGATGATGACCACACGATTGGTTGAAACGATGTTGTAAAATTCAAACAATAATATAATTCACTCTGAAAGCTGAGTCCCTGGACTTTTATTTATAGCAAGTTGAATATCAGACATTCAGATGTCTAACACATCATCCTTAATGTAGGCTGTTGCTATGAATGGTGGGCGCATTTTGTAGGTAGCGCCCTCTGATGACCACGGGTTCGTTTCCCAGTAGTCTCATTATTATATCTACCAAGTAGTTTTGCTAAATGATTATTAGTTTTCATTTTACTGATGATTGAACATACTGAGAAACTTTATAAGGATCTTGTATGGTTATAGCGAACGTGTTTAGTCAGGTTTGACTTTCCTACACAAATAATTGACATTGTAAGTAATTTCTTGAAATGCATAAAACTTCTATTTAGCCTTTCTCTCCTCAGAAAGGAAAATAATAGTTAACTTCCAAAAATACAATTATGTAAACGCTTGCACAAAGAACTAAATTGTACGCAAACATGCCCCATGTGTTTCTTCCGCGCACAGCTTTACCATAATTTTCAATATACTATATTTGATACTGTTACGTCTCCGTTTATTAATTAACTTTCCGTAACTTCGTTCCGACGAAACTTTAGCGTCACAAGTCCTTACTTAATAAAACTGGTTTATTCTTTCCGAATATAACTTTACGATACACTTATTTTCAACAATCGCGCTAAAACAAACGCTATATCAACGAACGTCAATAATACTTCTGACTGCAGTTCAATTACTCACAATCTTCACACACACATTA